TTTTTTTTATTTGCTTTAATATTACGTGATAAGTTATGCGGTTTTTTAACAGTTTTTCTCTTTTTACGAGCTTGAATTTCTTGAGGATCTGAATTTTCGAGTTCGTTTAGTGGTTGTCGTCCTGAAAATGCTCTTTTTCTGCCTTTTGTCAATTGTTTTGTTCTACATTGTGCGGAGGCTGCTTGAACTGGAATTCATGTTTTACTATAAACTCGTGTATTATTTGTATACTGATATAGATAGTTAAGTAGTTTGCCTGTTGATATATTGCGTGCTTTCCTGTAATTTCGAATAAAAGTCTCTAATGCAGTCTTAATTTGCGAATTTGCCATCATATCTTCATTAGCTTCTTTTAGAAATTTTTCAATAACGTCCTCAGTTTCTAAATTATTGTTACTACTGTATAATCATTAGATATCAAATTAATAAAAAATACATTTTGTATATATACAGCATTAATATATATATATATATTGTTATACGTACCTAATATTCATAAAGTTATTATCATTATTTATAATATCCGCTGTATTATTAACAAGCTCAGTACTTGTATTTGAACAGGTTTCTTGATCATCAATACTCTTAATTGTATTTGAATATTCTACTGCTACCGTATCATTAACAGGCCTATTATTTGAAATTGTTTCTTGATCATCATTAAAATGGATAGTTTTTGAATGCAGCGATGCATAAAAGGATTTATTTTTTGAAATAAAACCTAAATTATATATAAATATTAAATAATTGGTAATTTATTTTTATTCTTACTAATAATGATAATGTACATATTAAAAATACTTACCACATGCGATATATGATAATTCAGCTTTATCATTAGTTGAAAGAGCCATCAAACAATTAAGAGAACTTTGAAGATATTTAATTGCTACTGCTGCTTGATGTTTGCAGGGAGCTCCTGAAGAACCTTTTAAACATGTACATGTTCCAATATTCGAGTTAATAATATAAAAAGTATTAGGTTTAGTTGCACTTGCAACTTTATAAATTCTTTCAAACCCAATCTCATTTATTAAGTCAAAATTAATTTTGTCCCATCCGGGACATAAAAATCTTTTTGCAATAATTAGATTTGGACGTTGATGTGCAATTCCTAATAGTCTTTGTTCATAAAAACGTTCCATTTTATCTATAATGAAATGAAATATTTGAACGATATTATATGCTTGGGTACGACTAAATACAATATCTTTAAGCAGTTCGAAACTCCTCTCTATATAATTATTTGTATGATTATTTCGCATTAATAAATTATTCCAAAAAGAAAGTGCCCAGAATTTTTGTCTTTCCCAAATAAGATTAAAATGCCTTGCAAGTTTTTTATATTTAGGAAAATATTGCTAAGTAAATAAAGTATACTCTTTTTCCATTTCTTCTTTTGAAGAAGTATATAATATTTTTTTCATTTGTTGCATAATTGGAATTCGATCTTCTTTATTAATTGAATGATTTGAATCCCATAATCATCGCCAAAATGCTTGAAGTATGTGAAATATACATAAAAGCCGGTTTGTTCCTGGCCAACATAGTTGTAATGCATTACGAATTGCATTAGAATCATCAGTAATAATTGTTACTGGCCCAATATTTGGATTGCAACCAAAAAAAGCATTTGTGGTAAAATAGTCCTTAGCATATTAATTGCACGTTCAATAGTAATTTCCGTCTCTTTAGATGTAAGAAAAATACCCAATGGTAGACCACCTGCAACGCAGCTTGTATAAAAAAGAAAGATTGATATATTAAGTGGATCAAAACTAGCTGATGCATTAAGATAACATAACTCTCCAGCTTGTCGGATCTTTTCATGAACTCTTTTCATAAGTCCAGTAACAATACATAAAATAAAAGCTGTGCTTTTTTGAGAATTATATTCTTGCAAATAAGCAGTTCCTTTTTCAGATTTATTATATATATCAACCTCTTGCTTAAGTCGTACAAACATTGCAGCACCATTTCGCTCACCATATTCTTCTGATTCAAATATACGATATAGTCTTGAAATATATGAATAGTCAGGATTAATGGCTCGATCAGCTAACATAGTAACTAGTTCTTCATTAGTATTTGCACTTAAATGTAAATCATCTTGATAAGTGTGCCAAGCTGATGTCGCATTATACCCATTATGAAATAGCTGATAATATTTATCATTTGTGCTATTATTTACAGGTCAAAACCCAAGTGCTTCTGCAGAATTCGTAACATGATTATGTATAAAATTGAGCTTAATTTCTAGAGGATACATTTGCTCTAAGCGTGAACATTCAATTCGCATTTCCAAAGAAGCTTTACAATTTGTATCACGTGCACATTTACTATTAACTCTTTTTGGCAATGGATTTCCTTGCTTTTTTTTAACCTCATAACTGTGCATACAATGCCATAATTCACGAAACAAAACACGTTTGCCAGTAATTTTAAAACCACGTAAAATTCGCATTGTAGTTTTAGTTTTTTTCCTGAAATGCTACTAGCCATTCTTGTGCTTTTTCTTTTGATTGAATGTTTGTAAAACAATGGATATAAAATTGCTGAATTTGGATACCTTCATCAATTTCAATATTAGGTATTTCAGAAAATTCTTGAATCAAATAATTATAATTTGAAGGTAAAAAATTTTCTAAATATTGTAAAAGTTCATTGCTATCTTTTTGAGTCATTTTAACAGTTTGCATAAATTCTAAATCTGAAAATATCTTAATCGTTAATAAATTTTAATATTGTTATAAATTATAACAATAATTGCGATTTTCATACTTATATTAGGTACTTGTAAAGATGCTTCCTTAACTTGTGCCATTCTTATTCGAAAATAATTAGTTTGGGATTGAAATCGAATTTATTTTATTTATTAACGTTAATCAATTAAAAATTTGAAATCGAATTTTTTTTTTAATAATCAAATTAAAATATCAAATGATTTTATTAATAATCAAATTTTAATGATTTTTTTTTTACGTTGATTAATTCGGAGATCAGAGATTAATAATAACCTGTTCCAGATTTTTTATTTGCAATTTATAGGGTTACAACTCTAGAAACGGATAAGGTTTACTATAAGTTAGATATATAGATCTGAGTAATTATTAAAATTTATCAACAGTAAGATTTGAACCTCAAATCTTTTGCATGACAGTTTGGTAATCTAACCACTACACTAAGATCGCTAGATCTATAAAAGTTTTTATAAATCATTAAATCATTAAAAAGAATATATAACTGCAAATAGACTTTTAAAAAAAGTGATTCAAATAGGATTTAATGCAAAACTATTAGCAATACAAGAGTTAAACAGTTTAATGAATAACTTTATAACAAAATATATACTAAAAAGTAATCAAAAATTACTATGAAGAAACTCTAGAAAAGAATCATCTTGAAAAAACTCTAAAAGAATGTTATAAGCTAAAACTTATCCCTTAGATTGTAAGCTAATGCAGACAAATTTGTCTGCATTTTTGCATTCATTCAGCTTTGATTTACTTTTTTAAAATGCAAAAATATTAAAAAAATAATTA